TCTTATCTTAATCTTCACTGGTATTAAAATCTAGGCCAAATTCATACTTTTTCTGATTTAAGTTATATTCCACAAACTTGCGTTTAACATATGTATGTCAATATTTTAAAATATTATTAAAGAGCATAAATGGGGCACATTGAATCAATAGCTTAAATGATCCACTGTGCCCCGATTCACTGTGCCCCGTGATAAAAAAAATTAAACAAATTTAATTTTCTGCTACATGGCTGGCTGCATAGGACTGGTAAATTGTTTTAATACATTCTACTAGGTCACTAATGCTAATCAATTACATCGAATTTTTAAAATCTTAATAATAAAATCTGTGAAATAAAATTAGAGAAGGTCCTAAAATTTACTTTTGATGGTAAAAAACATACCTTACCTTGTAAAATTTCAAATTGACGTTAGAACAAGCAATGCTGTATAAATAAAGTTGGCGGATGTAAATACGCAAAAAATGATGACATCAGCAACAGAAATCTCCCGGTGATTTGGTAGAAAATACCACTGATTCACTGTGCCCCTTGATCCACTGTGCCCCAACTCCCCCTATATGTTTGTAAACTTACTTCTAAAATAAACTACCACAGATGACGCCCGAAAGGGATTCAGTCTAAAGTTTAAAGTTAAGGGACTCCCTGGGACCCGGGTCCGAATAGTGACCATACTATATTATTAGTAAAACAAATAATGCTTTCAAAAAGAAATTTGACGCAAAATGTGATCGTGTGAACTGAAAAGATGATTCGACCAAGCTTCCATTAGATCAAATTTCCTTCGATGAAATTACTTTCAAACAAATTTCTGGAAATGCTACTACACAACAGACGTTCAAGTTCACACCTTCTAATTCTAAGCTTCTTATTCATCCCATCTTCTTTACTTCCGCCCTATTCTTGTTTTTAAATGCAAGTATTACTGTAAGTTTCAGTCTACAGTATGTGTTAAAGTCAAAGTCATAATAATTTAAATAATATAATAGTTATATTAAAAATGATAATGATAACATTACGATATTTATTGCTGTTTTTTTAAAATGTTTAGTGTTGGTGTTTAGTGTTACAATTTCAATTATAGAGGCTTTACACTTTAACAAAAAAATTGCCTAAGACAAGAATAAAAACCAAGTTCACTAAGAAGTGTGAATTCGAATAAAAAATTACTCTTATTAAATTACTATGCGTACTTTCTTTTTCGAATCCTTTCTTTATATCTTTTTAAAAGTTCCGTTAAATTGTAAATAAACTCAATTTCTTCGGTAATCATAATCGGCAGCCGAAATAGCTCAGTTGGGAGAGCGTTAGACTGAAGATCTAAAGGTCCCTGGTTCGATCCCGGGTTTCGGCACCAATCCGGCGGTTGCCATAAATTTTTATTTTTCTTCTGCAACTTTAGTGTTTTTAAGTGTTATTTAAAAAATAAAATCATTATTCTTTAAATTATCGTTTTGAGACAAATCCGTCTAATGGAATATTTTAGCCTTACGCAATTTATATATTAAGAAAAAACGTGTCAGCAGTGGCAATATAAAATTGTATATATTCGCAATATTGGGAACTTCGTTCAAGCCGTGTGAGTGTGAAATAAATTAAATAAATAGTGTAAGAAATTATGTGACAAAACATTAAATTACATCAAAAATTGACAATATTAAAGATAAAACAAAGCAGATTTGGTTGTTCTAGTTCTAATTTTATATCTACTGAAATAATAATAATAAAGTTCATTTCAAAAACACGCTTCATCCCCAAAGGCTCGAAGCGCGGTACAAAGTAAAAAAAAAACAACAAATCTATAGTTTACCACATTTAAAACAAACGCAACACGACAAAAACTAAATGTTATTTTCAATTGTATGGCATCGGGCATATATAATCAACTAAAAAAATGTTAAAAAACATTAACAAAATGAAGATATATAGTATTCGAAAATTTCATTCAACAATTACGTAGAATATGTGTTCACAGACATGATAATCCAAAACTGAGGCCATTTCAGGGGGTCAAGATGAAACACTAAACCATTTCAGTGGGTCAAGATGAAACACAAGCCATTTCAGGGGTCAAGATGAAACACTAAACAATTTCAGGGGGTCAAGATGAAACACTAAACCATTTCAGGGGTTCAAGAAGAAACACTAAACAATTTCAGGGGGTCAAGATTAAACACTAAACCATTTCAGGGGGTCAAGAAGAAACACTAAACCATTTCAGGGGGTCAAGAAGAAACACTAAACCTTTTCAGGGGGGTCAAGATGAAACACTAAACAATTTCAGGGGGTCAAGAAGAAACACTAAACCATTTCAGGGGGTCAAGATGAAACACTAAACTATTTCTGGGGGTCAAGATGAAACACTAAACCATTTCAGGGGGTCAAGAAGAAACACTAAACAATTTCAGGGGGTCAAGATTAAACACTAAACCATTTCAGGGGGTCAAGAAGAAACACTAAACCATTTCAGGGGGTCAAGAAGAAACACTAAACCATTTCAGGGGGGTCAAGATGAAACACTAAACAATTTCAGGGGGTCAAGATGAAACACTAAACCATTTCAGGGGGTCAAGAAGAAACACTAAACCATTTCAGGGGGTCAAGAAGAAACACTAAACAATTTCAGGGGGGTCAAGATGAAACACTAAACCATTTCAGGGGGTCAAGAAGAAACACTAAACCATTTCAGGGGGTCAAGAAGAAACACTAAACCATTTCAGGGGGTCAAGAAGAAACACTAAACAATTTCAGGGGGTCAAGATGAAACACTAAACAATTTCAGGGGGTCAAGATGAAACACTAAACAATTTCAGGGGGTCAAGATGAAACACTAAACCATTTCAGGGGGTCAAGATGAAACACTAAACTATTTCAGGGGGTCAAGATGAAACACTAAACCATTTCAGGGGGTCAAGATGAAACACTAAACTATTTCAGGGGTTCAAGAAGAAACACTAAACAATTTCAGGGGGGTCAAGATGAAACACTAAACTATTTCAGGGGGTCAAGATGAAACACTAAACCATTTCAGGGGATCAAGGAAAATAACCTGTCTAAGCAAGCATAATGATAAGCATTGCTGTATTTCTCAAGCATAATGATAAGCATTGCTGTATTTCTCCACTCCGTATCTCTGTAAAGCTACCAAAACATAATCCAGAGTCAGTTTAATGCAGAGCCAAATATAATATAATCATCAATTGAACCTAAAATTGTGCAAAATAATATTAGTGCTAAAATACAAGAATGGTTTTTAATTATCATTATTTTATGTCATGTTATTTAATCCCCCCCCCCCTCACCCGTTTCCCCGTGCACACTACTAGAAATTGATTCTAAAAAGGGTTAAAAAGGTTGAGAACCATTGGGTTAAGTTAAGTGATATAGTGATAGAATGAAGCCCCCACGCCAAACTCTTTGTTATGAAAAACGTCATATGTGCGCCACTGCTCTCCGACTAGATCAGTTACCATTGTGGAGGGATTGCGGTAGGTAAACACTAGGCATGGGCGCCCGCAGAAAACTTTCTGGGGGGGGGGCAAAAAAATCCATTAACTTTCCAGGGGGGGGGGGCAAAAATGTGTTAGTAATATTTTAATATAGTTTTAATTTACTGTATCGTATTTGTATGGTGAGCGAACGGACTGGACATCAGCTTAGTTACTTTTTCTTTATTTTCTCTTTACTTTAATACATTTTTTGTCTATTTTTGTCTAAAAAAATTTTATCCAATCAATCCGGGGGTGGGGGGGGGCAAGTGCCCCCCCTTGCCCCTACCTGCGGGCGGCCATGACACTATGTTGCTATTTCATATCTAATTATACAATTTAAAGACTACTGCACTTAAGGCCTCTTGCCATTCAAATCGTAACTTAATCGAATCAAGTGAATCTCTCCAGTGCTAGGTTGCCAACCATCCGAAAATTTCCGGACAGGACATAAATGATGTGTCCCGTAAAAGTCAGTAGATCTTTAGGATGTCCGTTAAAATAAGTAAATTAAGACTTTTAGTAGAGCGAAAACTCGTTTTTTTCTGCTGACCTTTGTAGGTGTACGTGTTAGCTTAAGATGTATACTATGTGATCAGAGTAACTTCAATGAATAAAAATGAACATTTAAACAACATAATTCAATGCAGCAAAATAACCTATAAATTGAATTCTGCGTCATATAACATTTATATATAATATTATAGAGAGATTTTCAGCCAGGAGCCATTGATTTTTAATTATTATTATTTTTTTTACATCCATAGTTTGAACATAGAATATACATTTGTAATCAATGTGTCCTAAAAAAAATTATGTCTATCAATAAAAATCTTGAAGATTTCAAATCTTTGTGCGTAAATGTTATTCACTTGAGTTAGAAGCCCTGCCACATTTGGTCAAGGTCAGGACTTAATAAATGGTGTAATACGCAGAGTAAAGTTTAGAAAGTTGATGTCCTATTTGCTTGCACCCTAAAGAAATGAAGAACCTTCCACAACAAAATGTTACAGCTCTAACTCTTTGACTACTGAGATTTAGCCTGCAGTTAAACTGACTTAAATACTGGTGCATACACAACACAACCAACTTAGTGTCATAAGAAACCAATCAATACTTCCTAAACTGTTAATTTGATAGCATCAAACATTAATAATTACTAAAACTTGCTATTGGTGATAAAGGCGTGATCGCTATATCCAACTACTTTTAAAATGTTACATTTTATTGATCAAAATGTGAAACGACGTGGCATGAAATGACTTTGAACACCGTTCTATATCCTCGATGTCTACACCCCGTCCATACGAACTTCTTTTCGTTCTACATTTGATTTCACACTTATCTTAGTTTATTGTTTCCTCTCGAGCTTTTCAAACCTTCCAGCCCCATGATCCATTTCACACCTTGCAAACCTATGAGCTATTTCACATCTTCCAGCCCCATGAGCCATTTCACATCTTCCAGCCCCATGAGCCATTTCACATCTTCTAGCCCCATGAGCCATTTCACATCTTCTACCCCCATGAGCCATTTCACACCTTGCAACCCTATGAGCTATTTCACATCGTCCAGCCCCATGAGCAATTTCACATCTTCCAGCCCCATGAGCAATTTCACATCTTTTAGCCCCATGAGCCATTTCACATCTTGCAACACTATGAGCTATTTCACATCTTCCAGCCCAATGAGCCATTTCACATCTTCGAGCCTCATAAGCTATTTCAAATTTTTCAATCGCATGAGCTGTTCCACACCTTCCAGCCTTATGAGCTATTTCACATTTTTCAACCCTATGAGCTATTTCACATCTTCAAGCCCCATGAGCTATTTCACATCTTCCACCCCCATGAGCTATTTCACATCCTCTGCCCTATGACCTATTTCACATCTTACAGTCCTATGTGCTATTTCAAATCTTCCAGCTCTATGAGTTATTTCCCACCTTCCAGCCCTATGACCTATTTTAAATCTTCCAGCCCTTTGACCTATTTCACATCTTCCAGCCCTATGACCTATTTCACATCTTCCAGCCCTATGAGCTATTTTAAATCTTCCAGCTTTATAAGTTCCTTATATATTTTATTCTTTTAAGTTTATTCTTATATTGTTTCCAAAAGTGTTGCTAAAACTAAAACTTTTTTTTTTTTTTTTATCAAATGATACATGCGTGGGACTTTCAATTCGATTAATTTCCACGCAGTGGTTCAGTTATTCTCACCAGTAGCAATTTGAAGAGAGTTTGGGGAAATATAATCTACATTTTTTTATGAAGGGGTTGGACTGGGGAGGGGCAGGTTCATTTAACCTTTTTAGATTACGGTAATTAGGTTGCGAAAGGAGCAAAAAAGTTTGAGAAACACTGCATTATATAAAAAAGTTTAAGTCAATTGATCCATATCTTTAAAGTATTACATTTTAAGTGTAATAACAAAATTTCCGTCCGAAGATGACTTTAGAAGATATGTTTGTAAATTCTACCATTCATTGATATTTATGTATTCAAATTGTAATCGTGATTTCTAATATAACATACATTTTTGGCTACTGTAACATCAAAAATCTAAAAACCTAAAAAGTATTTTTTATCTAGAATGTCAAAGTCATATTGCGGATATCCCTCAAAATAAAATGACTTTGTCTTCTCGCTCTTCTAGTTCGAAATCGTCTTGAGCTGTTTTCTTGAAGCCATCAAGCAGATGTGTATCTGTTACAATCTCCAGTGTTGTGCATCTCAAGTCTTCCTTCCTTAAGGAAACATCCTTTTTTGTTTCAAACAATTCCTCTTCACTACTTTGATTGTAATCATCTTCATCATTATCACAATCTTCATCATTATCGCCATCCTCGTACTCATTGTTTCGTTCATCTTTTTTCTGTGGGTCTTCATTTGAGTTTTCATGTTGTTCTTCACGTGTGTCGTTGTGTGGGCATTTAAGTATGTCGTCATGTGGGCCTTCAAGTGGGGTGTATTTTGAAAGCGTATGTGGAGCCTCACCCACTTTCATGTTATCGAACCCAGTTGCCACCATGATATTGTCGTACATTCCTGTCGATGAGTTTCTATCAAGTTTTGTATGTTTATCGTTCTTTAAAGTTAAAGAAATTTTATCGAAATCGTTGATGGAGTTCTTGTTCTTGTGTTTGAGTGCTTGATCCAAGGTCAAATCTTTATTCTCAGTAACACCATTTTCCCTGCCCTTATGTTTGATGGATGTCGTCCCTCCTTCAGCTTGGCCAACATTCTCTTGTACTGCGCTGGTGATGTTTTTTCTTTGTGTCGTCACTTGTCGGCTCAGGGATTTGAGAACCCTCGGATTGTAACACTTGGGGTCAGAAACCATCTTGAAAAATAGGCTTCGCATGACCTGTTGATGAAATATAAATCATAGGCGGTCATTAATAACCGAGTACATTTTTGTTAGAGACCGACCGAAAGTGATTTTCTAATTTCGGCCGAAGCCGAAAATAGGCCGAAAGTTTAAAATGACTTTCGGCCGAAACCGAAAAAAGGCCGAAAGTTTAAAATGACTTTCGGCCGAAACCGAAAAAAAGCCGAAATTTAAAAATGAATTTCGACCGAAACCGAAGCCGAAACCGAAAATGAAATATTAAGATATTTTGAAATTCGTTCCCGCATACATTCTGCATACATCGAAAATGGTGTGGGAAAGTATAAATATTTACATTCTTTTTATAAAAAAAATGAGATAATCGTGAATATTAGGTGAGCCGAAAAAAAGTCACAGGAAAAAATGTAACGGAAAAAAGTCACAATTTTTGCTAGGAAAAAAAGTCACAGGAAATAAAGTCACAGGAAAAAAAGTCACAGGAAATAAAGTCACAGGAAATAAAGTCACAGGAAAAAAGTCACAGAAGCATTCAGCCATCAGATATCATAAATAAATTCTGACAAGAGTTGTGGGATCCCGTAACCTTTTGGGATCCCATATCTTATCGGGATCCCTACCCCACAAGGATCCCGACCCCATTGGGATACCAATTTTGATTGAGATCCCTTTCCCTCAAATAATCCAATTGGGATCCTGACCCCATTGTGATTCCGACCCTAGGGATCCCAGCCCCAATTGGATCCCGATCCCGATTGGGATCACTTTCTCAAAAAGGATGTCATTAGGATCCCAACCCATTGGGATCTCGACCCCATTGTTATCCCGATCCCATTCTGATCCTGAAAGGATCCCGTTTCTAAATGGGATCCTGACCCCATTGGCATCCTTATTCTAAATGGCATCTCATATCCAAATGGGACTCCGACCCCTGTGGGATCCGAACTAATTGAGATCCAAATGGGATCCCATTTCCAAGTAGGGTGCCACTTTCCAAATTGTACCCTTTTCCAAATGGGATCCCGATCCCACTAGGATCCCGCTTCCCGGAAGGATCCTTTTCTCCGATGGGATCCCGTTTGCCGCAGGATCCCTATTTGATCCCGTTACTAAGTTAGGTCAAGATCCACCTATTTATGCAGGAGTATTTGTGGTTAATTTTATTTATAAAGCTCATATAAGAAAAAAAAAACGATTCCGGGCCCCCGGACTTTTTTTCCTGTGACTTCTTTTCCTACATATCGATATATAGGGGTCTCAAATTCGCGGCCCGCGAGCCATTTGTGACCCTCAAGACGATATTTTGCGGCCCGCTTCATGACAGAAAAGTTTAGTGTAAATGCGCCGGCCCGTTTCCCCCATTCTCATATCTATAACGTGACTCTCCGCGACGGTTTCAGTCGAATCTCACCGACTAGTCTAATTCTGATTTTTTTGGTAGTGTTGCTATGTATTTTTGTATGCAACAGTGAGTAGGTGGATGAAAGTGAATCCTAGTTCTTGAGAACCCTTAATGATTTCATTGTTATTTATAAAAGTTGAGCAGATTTTAACAGTTGTAATCGCTTTTTTGTGGATTACTTGATGCGGCCCACTCTCATTCAGACACTACCTCCTGCGCCCCCCCCCCCTCGATGATTTGAGTTTGAGACCTTTGATCTAATGAATACTTTGGATTTTACCATTTTAATTTTAATATAAAAGTAATTTAAATTGCTTTACAACTTTTTAAAATTAGTATGGTAGGAAAAAAATTGGCAAAAATTGAGGGGGGGGGGGGGAATTGATGCAAAATATTATTTTTTTAAACCGGGTCTCTAAAAATTGTGGTTGTAAAGGATTGCTTAATTTGTTTTTAAAGATCGTTTATTTGGTTGTTATTGGTCGGTTAGTTTGTTCTTAAAGATCGGCGAGTTTGTTCATAAAGATCACTAGATTGTTCTAAAATATCGCTTAGTTTAATCTTAAAGATCGCTTAATTTGTTGTTAAAGATCGTTTAGTTTGTTCTTAAAGATCACTTAGTTTGTTGTTAAAGATCGTCCAGTTTTTGTTAATAGATCGCATTATTTGTTCTTAAATATCGTTTAGTTTGTTCATAAAGATCGCTTAGTTTGTTGTTAAAGATCGCTTAGTTTTTTTCATAAAGATCGCTTAGTTTGTTCTTAAAGATAATTGATTTTGTTCCTTAAGATTGATTAGTTTGTTCTCAAAGATCTTTTAGTTTGTTCCTAAAGAACATTTAGTTTTCTGCTAAAGATCGCTTGGTTTATTCTTATAAATAATTTAGTTTACTATTAAAGATCATTTGTTTTGTTCTTAAAGATCATTTAGTTCGGTCATAAAAATCGTTTAGTTTGTTCTTTAAGATCGTTTAGTTTGTTACTAAAGATCGCTTAGATTGTTCTTAAGGATCGCTATGTTTGTTGTTAAATATCGTTTAGTTTTTTCTCAAAGATCGCTTAATTCGTTCTTAAATGTCGTTTAGTTTGTTGTTAAATATCGCTTTCGCTGAATATTAAATGACCGAAAACCTGAGTCACTTTCGGCCGATGGCCGAAAGTCTAAGTCAATTTCGGCTGAAACCGAAGAAAAACCGAAAGTTAACTTTCCTCTTTCGGCCGAAACCGAAATTAAACCGAAAGTCAACTTTTCAGTTTCGGCCGAAACCGAAACTTGGCCGAAAGTGATAAAATGGCCACTTTTGGCGCCGAAACCGAAGCCGAAATTCGGTCGGTCTCTAATTTTTGTACAATGCTGGACATAAAGGGCACCCACCCTGGCCCAATGTGCAATAATGGACATAAGGGGCACCCATCCTGGCCCAATGTGCAATAATGGAAATAAGGGGCACCCACCCTGACCCCATGTGCAATAATGGACATGAGGGGCACCCACCCTGGCCCAATAAGAAATAAAGGACAGGTGGGGAAACCACCCTGGCCAAATGTGCAATAATGAACATGTGGGGCACCCACCCTGGCCCATTGTGCAATAATGTAGAGGTGGGACACCCACCCTGGCCCATTTTGCAATAATGGACATGAGATGCACCCTACCTGGCCCCATGTGCAATAATGGCCATGAGGGGCACCCACCTTGGCCCTACGTGCAATAATGGACATGAGGGGCACCCACACCGGTCCAATGTGCAATAATGGACATGAAGGGAACCCACTTAGGCCCAATGTGCATTAATGGACATGAGAGACACCCACCTTGGCCCAATGTGCAATAATGGACATGAGAGACACCTACCTTGGCCCAATGTGCAATAATGGACATGAGGGGCACCCACACCGGCCAAATGTACAATAATGGACATGAGAGACACCCACCTTGGCCCAATGTGCAAGAATGGACATGAGAGGCATCCACACCGGCCAAATGTGCAATAATGGACATGAGAGGCACCCACAACGACCCAATGTGCAATAATGGACATGAGGGGCACCCACCCTGGCCCAATGTGCAATAATGGACACGAGGGGCACCCACACCGGCCAAATGTACAATAATGGACATGAGAAGCACCTACTTTGGCCCAATGTGCAATAATGGACATGAGAGACACCCACCTTGGCCCAATGTGCAATAATGGACATAAGAGGCACCTACACCGGCCCAATGTGCAATAATGGATAGGAGGGTAACCCACCTTGGCCCAATGTGCAATAATGGATATGCGGGGCACCCACCTTGGCCCAATGTGCAATAATGGACATGAGAGACACCCACCTTGGCCCAATGTGCAATAATGGACATGAGGGGCACCCACTTTGGCCCAATATGCAATAATGGACATGAGAGACACCCCCCTTGGCCCAAAAGGCAACCACAACGGCCCAATGTGCAATAATGGAGAGGAGAGGCACCCACAATGGCCCAATGTGCAATAATGGATATGAGGGGCACCCACCTCGGCCCAATGTGCAATAATGGACATGAGAGACACCCACTTTGGCCCAATGTGCAATAATGGACATGAGGGGCACCCACTTTGGCCCAATATGCAATAATGGACATGAGAGACACCCTCCTTGGCCCAATGTGCAATAATGGACATGAGAGGCACCCACCTTGGCCCAATGTGCAATAATGGACATGGGAGCCACCACCTTGGCCCAATGTGCAATAATGGACATGAGGGGCATCCACACCGGCCCAATGTGCAATAATGGACATGAGGGGTACCCACCTTGGCCCAATGTGCATTAAGGACATGATAGACACCCACCTTGGTCCAATGTGCAATAATGGACATGAATGGCACCCACACTGGCCCAATGTGCAATAATGGACATGAGAGACACCCACCCTAGCCCAATGTGCAATAATGGACATGAGTGGCACACACACCGGCCCAATGTGCAATAATGGACACGAGCGCACCCACCCTTGCTTATTATTCAATAGTGGACATAAGGGGCACCCACCCTGGTTTAATGTGCAGTAATGTACATGAGGGGCACCCACCCTGGCGCATTGTGCAAATATGGACATGAATGGCACCCAGACCGGCCCAATGTGCAATAATGGAGATGAAGGGCACCCACTTTGGCCCAATGTGCATTAATGGACATTAGAGACACCCACCTTGGCCCAATGTGCAAGACTGGACATGAGAGGCAACCACCTTGGCCCAAGTGCAATAATAGACATGAGAGACACCCACCTTGGCCCATTGTGCAATAATGGACATGAGGGGCACCTACCTTTGCCCAATGTGCAATAATGGAAATGAGGGGTACCCGACTTGGTCCAATGTGGAATAATGGACATGAGAGACAGCCACCTTGGCCTAGTGTGCAATAATGGACATGAGAGACACCCACTTTGGCCCACTG